CATCCTCAGTTGTTTAAGTTCTTTTACAGATTTTATGTTTCTGTCAGAAGGCTTACCTGAAGCCTTGAATGGTTGGGTTCCGTAAAAAATTGCTTGTAAAAAAATTGCTTGATTTTTTGATGAAAAAATAACCGCAAATCCCTAATGAATGAAATTTCAGGCTAGAAAGGTGGCAGAGCGTGAACGTAAGAAGGAAGAAGTACGTAAGCGTCTCATGGAGGCCAGCAGGGCCAAGAAAGCCAAGAAAGGTTTCTTGACACCGGAACGAAAGAAGAAGCTCAGGGTGAGTCAGAATCTGTGGCAAGGAGGCAAAACTCGAAGTTTTTGTACAAAATGGCCCAGAAGGACTAGGTAGACGTTGCAAACAAAATTAGGGTCCCCTGAGTCGGAAAAGCCTTGCGGGGACTGCCCAGTCGATCATTTATGTTGGAAAATTTAAAGCTCTAATTTCGACCGAATTCTATTTGAGTAAGTGCCAGATCAAGAAAAAATCCGACCTGGAATCTCTGTTCAGGAGATTTATTTATTGACAGCCACGCTGAAGCTCCACCTTTCTGAGCTAGTACAGTCTGAGCTAGTACAGAATCGAAGTATAATGGGCTTCACAACAAAATCAGGGACCACCATTTCAGTACCGATCGATAATTATGATTTTGACCATACAGATTTGGAGCCGCAGTAAAATGGTAGTAATGCGCATCCAGAAAGCTCATGATCTGAGGCTGCCCTTCTGGCACCTTCTTCCTCTTCTCCTTAGCGTCAGCCCTGTGCAGTCGCAGGTTCCGCTGGACTGACCTCCTATTATCCTCCCTTGCAAATATCCATACGTGGTTGCAAAAGTACATCTGCGATTGCCAATTTTTGCACGTTCCTAGTGAAACTGTCGCGCAATCGAAAGCAGACCTAATGACACACACACTTCCTCTCATGGAAAGGGTGTCCATCACTGGTTATTCCTATCACGCTGATCGCCATGAACGAATATTGATCGTTGGCGCGAGTGGAATAACGTGCACCTTTAGGTACGGGTGTTGGATTTGATCTCTCAGAGGGCGCTACATGCATAGAAAAAGTATTGTAGCAAAATTTGATTGTAGGGGAAGATCAAGCTTACAAACAAATCAGTGGTTGGAAATTAAGCAGGAAATATTTTAGAAACTGTTGATGATGAAAGCCGCCGAGGATCTGAAGCAGCAGCAAATGCTCAAGGAACAGGAACGACAGCGTATACTTCAAGAGCGAATCATTCCGCTGCCGGATCTCGATGAATGCGGTTCGCATCTTCATTTGAAAATCATGTGGGGGGGGGGGGGGGGGGAATGGGGGTGTTAGAAAAGGGGGGAACGGTGACTGTGAAACAATTGGAGCTAGGCGTGATATATGGGGACATCCTCGAGGACAGATTCTAGTTGGACGGCAAACTCTGGTAAATTATACAGCGCCTCAACGCACCTTGGAGTCTATTCACTGCCGCCTGAGGTTTAGTCCAGTTTTTGACCAAAAAGACACGTTTTAAATGCACTGTTCTATATTGCGATAGCGCCCAGTTGTAGAATCGTGGAAAGATTCTGAAATTATGCCTATCCGCACGTTGCCATAGTTGGAAGCCTACTTAGGTTCCCAGTTCAGCTTTCTCGACACTTGCAGGACCGATGACTGATGTCTTGGTCGAGCAGAATTTTTTCAAGCGTTTTGCCTTGGACAGTGGTGGGGACATGGGATAAACTCCTAAGATTTACTCATGAAATCAGTAGAAAGATCCTCCTAGCTTTTTGGAGGACTCGCTTTTCAGTCATCCTGGCAGTCAGTAAATTTCAGCTACCGGGGCCAGTTTAGCCAAGTAGAAGGGATCCTGTTCAATTCTTTCATGAAAAACAGAAATACTCGAGTACGTGGTTGGTCGTGATCGATCTGGATAAGTTCTCCTTTTCAGATGATCTTGAGGAAGTCTACAATCAGATGCGCGAACGTCTAATTGCCTTGGAAAGCGAGAACTACGACGTATCGTACACAGTACGACAGAAAGATTTTGAAATCAACGAGCTCACCATTGCAGTGAACGATCTTCGTGGAAAATTGTACGAATCTATGACGTCATCCCTTGATATAAGATAGAAAAAATGGCAATTATTTGAAATTTCAGCGTGAAGCCTACACTGAAGAAAGTGTCAAAGACTGAGGGTAAGTTTGATAAGCTGAAGAAGAAAGAAGCCGCCAAAGTCGATTTCCGTTCCAACCTGAAGCAAGTCGACAAGAACCAATTCGCTATGGAAGAGGTTAGGGCCGAGCAAGATTATAAGTTCGGGAACATAGGGCGATATACCGTAACGCTCTCTAGGGCACTGCGGCACTAGGGCGCGCGCGGCTGGGCGTTAATGAGGGCTACGGCATACCATAATATGCTCCTGAACTCACAAGATTGTGGGCCGGACACCGAGAATACGCAGTTAGCGGCTATAATAGTACAGCGTGCTAAACATCTTCGCTTATCCCATGTATGAGTCGCGAGAACTAGATTTATGCGTGCAGGACCATCGAGGGGCAGAATTCCGAGGTCCGCATCTCCAAGTGCCAGTTTCCGCCATGACTTAGATACTTCACGCGACCATCTCTTCAATATTTATGTCAGTTTCTGCCGTTAGGCATGCCGTAATTGCGGACTCAGCAGTAAAAGTGGGCAGCATTAGATAGCGTCAAGAGCACCAAAAAGTATCCGTAACATCAAATTTTTCTAAGCCTTCTGTCACCGCGTGTGCTACTCAATCTCTACACGCGACATGCCGACTGTGGAAAAGGAATGTGTTTATGGAAGGGATGAGATATTAACACTACTTATTTTGAGAATAACACCAAAAACGGCTCTCAAGTGGGTATCGGTTTCGGCTGTGCGCGGAACAGGTTTAGGACCCCAGCTCCTGCCTCGGGAGAGGAGGCTTCTAGGTAATCGAAGCTTGGAAGTTAATGAATCAGATACTGGGTTTGGATTCGAGATTTCCATTTGCGAAAAGAGCCTTACAAACAGTATGGTTTCACCCTAACCTGGGGAGAACCTGCCTTCCAATTCCCGGGGATCAATCGATCAATAAGTTTACGTGGACTTGATGGGACCAGAGAGGTTGGCTGCTATCATTCGAAAGAAAATCTAAGCACTACTGGAAAAGGTGATGATTCTCAGAAGTCAGTCACTAGGCGGAGAGAAGTGCCACTTCACAAGCAACCCATCCCTTGACAAGCACTGTATTCCCTCCCATGAACTCTGAACAAAGGTCAACCGTCACGTCCGCACTTTTTCAAGAAATTTTCGACCCCGCCCCCATTTTAGTGGAGTCTCGATGCGACCCCCACCTACACCATCAGTCTTGAAAGGCTCTCTCAATTACGGTCCCTCTTCTCCGACCACCACCCTCACTATCATCATGGTTTCTATACTATTCGATTCTGAGACCAGCGGACACACTCCATACACTTTTCCCTCCCCTTTTCCTCCAAAACGGCCCTTCGGCGGGGGAGAAATGAATTAGTATCGTTAGTATCATGAAACGGCAAATTCACCAACTTTGCCTTAATTCTCACTTTTTCACAAATT